GTTGAATGGATCTCAGTTAATTGTGAATCGAACAAGGTATTGATAACCACAGACAGTAGATCGGCAATTCATGCACTCCAGAGGTTTCAAGATACCAGTTTAACTGCAGTCAACATAAAAACTACTATACGGAAATATAAACTTAATATAAAATTTCGTTGGGTGAAAGCCCACTCGGGCATTGTTGGGAATGAAATTGCGGATCGGGCAGCTAAGGAGGCTGCCCATCTAGCGGATATAACTTATAGCAAACTCCCTCTCTCGGGAGTAAAATATAAACTTAGAAGTGTCACCATTTCGGAATGGCAAGACAGGTGGACTAACTCCAGCAAAGGGAGACATACATTTTGGTTGTTACCGAATCTCGAAGAACGAGTTAAAGACTTACACTGGATTCCTATAAACCACATTACTAGCCAAGTATTAACTGGCCACGGTAATTGCAACGCATACTTACAGCGTATTGGTAAAAAACAGAACAGTAGTTGCGTTTGTGGCGAAGAGTTACAAGACATGGATCATCTGTTAAGTAAATGTTACAGATATGAACAACAGAGAGTTGAGCTCTCAGCGATCCATCAACTAAGCAGCACTAACCCTAATCTGGACTTATATCTAATGATACGAGATAAAAATCTTACTTGCGATCTATTCTCCTTCTTTAGAAGGATATTGATGTAAAGGTTGGGGAAAGTATACCCCAAGCCTACTGCACCGGAAAGCTTCCGGTGGCCTTTGTAAGGCGAGCAAGAGCACGCCAATAGTTTAATGTTAATTTTATTTATTTTGTAATGAAAATATGTTGTTTTATCTGTTTGTAATGAAACATTGTAATAAAGAAACGTTTTCCCTGTGGTGCGATAGCGGGACAGGGAGGACTCTGATCCCCTAGTAGGGGAAATGATGATTACTCAATGAAAAAAAAAAAAATGTATCTAAAGGTTCAGGTTGCAGCACACTTGAAGTATTCCTGTCAAGGTTGACACACACAGTTTTCTTACACCCAATATACAATCTGCATCATTAGGCATTAATTTGGGATTTTCTGACTCCTTTTAAATTTTTCTTCCCAACAATATACATTCCTTACATTTCTGTTCATATTTCCTTTGCAATTTCTTCAACATTATGAAAATTTTCTTCAATTCACACACTTATCAGCTAATAACTTTACAAATTATATTTTAGCAGTTATTATTGCTAAATAATATTGTACATCATGTCATTCTGTATAAATCAACACTAATTTCAACATCCTATCTCTTTGTGATGCAAACTTATACACTGTCCAAACACTGTGCAATGTTGCCATTTTCAACATTCATGTGCAACCACAAACCCACCTCACAGCTGCAAACCTCCACTACCCACTAAAATTTTAATCATTAGATCATCATTTATAGTTTACGAGATATAAGTGTGACAAATCTTGCCATCTTTTGGTCCAGTTTTGTAGACCTCATTACACCGATTTAGACGTATTCAGATCAAAAAGAAGCAAGAGCAACAGATGAATTCAGTGATACTTGCAGATTCCCTGGCTTATCCTGCTAAAATTCTTATTTCCTAATTTTCCAGATCTGTATGAACCCTGTATTTATGAAAAATATATATATTAAGGCAATTAATATAATTATTGTACAATGTGATTGGAACTTTGAGCTGACCAGACCAACTTTTTTACTCCGTTCTCCTCAAACCAAGTCTTCATATGTCTTACAGTATAGCATGGGACACTATCTTGCTAAACACAGACATAGGTCTGTTCCAGCAAGTACTGCTATATTGTATGGACCATAGAATTATTCTGAATGTTTAAGTACAGACCAGTTATCATGGTTCCAGGTAAACAAACAGTGATCCAAATCCTATTCACCTGAAACAACCCAAACCATTACAGACTTGCCACCAAAACTTAATAGTGAAAACAATACAGTGTTGTAGTTAATATTCTCTTATCACATATCCAAACATGTCTATCAGATGAAAACATAATGTAGAGTGAAATGATTCATCACTCCATAAGATCTTCTGAAGTTCATGAATAGTGAGCATAACACCAATATAAACATTTTTGGGCCTAAGATGAAATAATGCTTGGCTTGGATGCAGCTAGCCTGCCCTTGAAACTTGGAGAGTAATTCTTTGTACATTAGAATTTTCTTAAAATGTTCTACAGCAATTTTCAGGCCAGCCAAGAGTCCTGTTGCAAACAATGTGCTTGATTTCCAAAGGTTTCTTCAGGTTTGATCAGTAAATTTGTAAGGTGTCTCAAAGCATGATTTTATTATAGTGATATCAACATTCTTCCATTTTAAAATTGCATCACCTACTGTTGACTTTTGAGTTATTTTGTAAGGAAAGATTGCTAATATGACATCCAACTACTGCTCCAATTTCAAACTCTAAGTCCTTTTCTACTTGACACAGTCACTCAAAATATTAAAATGTACAAATGTGTCTTTAGCAGGCCAAGTCATACACTTGTCTTGCTAGAGGATTAATCAAGATACCTAAACAGTACAATACATGAGCTGCCACACACTAATTATCAACCAATATGTAGCAGTTAGGTGTACAGACACTTTTGTCAACACACTGTATTATTCTGGAGTAGCTTTAAAAGTATCTACATAATTGAATACACCTATTTGTAGTAGTAAATAACTAGTAAATATCAAAAACATACTTTAAGCGAATACAAAAAATTTAACTCACAACATTATTAGTTTATTAAAATATTAAATTTTGATTTATAAAATAAGTTATAAATCAAATTAACTGTTATCTACAACAAAAATTATAATTAAGAAATCAAATTTGCATATATATGATATATAAAAATATGTAATGTGTATATATACTCATAAGAATTATGATAATGATTTCATAAATTATCTCTAACTCTTATAAAATTAAATTTTATTTATTTTTCATTACCTTTTTTCCTTAAAATAATTAAATTTTGTATTTTCAGAAAAAAATTTATTCATATTATTTTATACTTAATAAAGTATTTCTACTGTATATATACCTGTTTTCTTGTTGCAAAAAGATATTTATCATGAATTTCAAAATCTTCAATGTTTCTTATTACAACTGATGTATTTGCTTCATTTTTAAAAAAATCAGTGGAACGTAGAACTGTTGAAGTATGTCCAGGTTCTTGACGTTCTATATATAATGTATTTGGAGGATCAATTCCATCTTTCCCCCTAAAAAATAAATTGAATAATAGTAATTGCAATTTCTTGTTTAAATTATATAATTTAAAAAAATATATATTTATAGAAGTTTGTAATTTTAAAAATATTCATTAACTTATTTGCCCTTGTAAAGGGTTGATGACCCTTATTTTAATTTTATTATATATAAATCACTTATAATAGCTTATAGAGAAAAATCAAGGAGTTGCTGGATACTTCTGATCAAGTTCAACAAGAAAGTTCAGATGATATTTTACCAAAAAGAAAATGCCCTCATTGCAGGATGATTAGCAGTGAAGAAGAAAATTAAGATGTAATATTTTTGATTACAATTGTTAAATAATTATTGATTATTAATTATTTATTGTTTTAATAAATATATTTCTCTTAAAGTAACAAAAAAGAATAATATACTTTTTTTTTAACTTTTGCAACATAACCCTATGTTTTGTACTTGTCCTCTGTTTCATATGGCATTTTTTTAAGAACCTAAGTACTACTCTTTATAGGGAGATATCTGTATTTAACATTTAAGAATTTACATCGTAAAACAAATCTGATAGGCAATGTCATTTGAATGTTCTTTGATGAGAAAATTATTTATTTAGAATATAATTATTGAACATTACTGTTCAACAATTAAATAAGATTACAATTAAATGGAAAATCTGGTTTTATTGACTAACATTAAAAGGACTTGCAAAACAATTTTAAAAAATATTTATAACTTAAAAATTTAATTATAATCATTATTATTAACATGCATGTTTTGAAACATAGTAACTCTGACAACATTAAACAACTCATAACAATATTTGTGATTACAATAGATAATTCTTCTGTACTAAATACTATTACCATATATAATAGAGCAGTGTTTTTCAACCGGGGTGCCGCGGCACCTTAGGATGCCACGGCGCCACAATTGGGGTGTTGCAAAGTTTAGAGCCTTTAGTCATTTTCTTGGAAATTTACTTAAGTGTAGTTCAAGATAACTCATTGTCAGTTCTATTTTGCTACGAGATATCTAGTAAGCAAAGAAACTATGACTAATTGCATGTTAATGTAATGTTCTACGTGTACGCACGACTTGTCACGAGTTCGCCCAAACCACATTGCTTGGTCTTCATGTTCCCAGTCCCAGTACCAGGCCAACCACCAGAGAAGAACGACGTGGACACTTGTGTCTTGTATATGCTTTAAAAAGCGTTGCATTGTACTTTGAAAAGCGTGTGGTTTCAATCACAAAGTAGGTGCATATTACAGTATTTTCATAGTATTCAAAAGCAATGATGACAAATAAACAATTTTTTATCATTTTTTTATTTTAAATTTTTTAAATTGATATGAAAAAAATAATGAAATATTTATTTTATATATGCATCAAAATAGTATGAAAAACGTAACAAAAATTGTTTATCAATAAAATGATAATATAAAATGATGATATATTTGATGATAAAACTATATTTAAAAAACAATAGCGAGACTATTATTTTATATGTAGGTATTTCGACAAAATTCAATGGACTTAAGTTTTGATTTTGAACATGTAGAAACATTTTTGCGTTGCACTTAATATTCACAAAAAATTCATCTGGCCCATTAGTCTCTCCCTTTATTCAGATTTTAGATCCGCCGCTGGTCAAGGGTGTCACGATTTGTTATTTTTCAATTAGGTGTGCCACTCAATGAAAAAGGTTGAAAAACACTGTAGTAGAGCATTAGTTATTCAAAATAATCTGGATAGAACAATTTTGGATAACTGATCACACTTGTAAGGAAAGAATAAAAAGATAATATTTTAAATTTATTTAAGGTATTTAATTTTAATTCTAGTACACTTGTAAAAAAATTTTAAAAAATTGCCTAATTTATCTACAACAAGCAATTAGTCTTTCATTGCAATCTACAATATACTGATAAAACTTTGAATTCAATTTAAAAAATACATAATAGCAAAATTAATATTAAATAAAATACAATATCCACATAAAAAGTATTTATTACAGTTTTTTTAAAAGAAGTCACTTATTATTCTTTGTTTTGCATAGTATTTTTTTATTTTTGTTAAATCTTTGACTTGCTTGATCATTATGAGAATTCAAAAATCTGCTTTAGGTTGCATTTCTAACCATGACTATGCTGTTTCCAATGCCTGTCTCATTAATCATTCTTTTCTATACGTACTGTAATAAATAAAACCTAATACTAGTTTTGATAACAACACAGTTCAATAGTGAGTCTATAAGAAGATCACTGACAATTATTATGACATTGTCACAATGCCAAGCTGCAACTTTTAATCATATTTTAAATTAAAAATATATCTTATGGTCTCAATCTTAAATTAGCAGTTGTGTGCCATCCATAGAAGCTTTCCTTGTATTTTCTAAAATATAAATACATATTGCATAATTATTTTCATATTTTAACATTCTTTGAATTAATTAAAATTAATATTTTATTATAACTGCATTATGAGTCTTATTACAAATTTCTATACTACATGTGAAAAAAATGATAAGATTGCTATTGTATATTCAAATATAAATCTGTATAGGCATATTCCCAATGGAAGTGCTTTATTGTCAAATATGAGAGAGCTTCCATGGCAAAAATATCTGAATGGTGTAAAGCAGCCAGATTACATACATTTGCACATATGCTTTACAGGGCACCAACCTCTGGTGGTATAGCTTGTGGATGCTACACACCAAAATATCATATAATGCTTCCAATGATTCCATCCATTAGCCACTCGTAAGGAGCTATTTGATTAAGTGGATTGTTTTAAGATTTAAAAATCCTAATAATTTCCAACAGATATGAAATGATAATAAATCACCTGGAGAAAGAAACAAAAAAAAGTTTATTTGTTCCTGAAACCAGACTACATATATTATATTGTCATAACCTTAACTTTTTACATTAGCATTATACATAACATAAATAGTGTAGTATTTATGTTATGTATAATCTAATGTTAGTAGTTATGATATTAATAATGGGGTGCAAAAGAGTATATAAGTAGTTAATATATTGTTATTATTCACAATGAATTCAAAATTATGATACAGCATAGATAATTGCAAATTTATAAATCAAAAATTAAGCAGAAAAGTTTAATCTGAAACTAGAATAGCTTCAAATTTTTTAATTCAGACTAATTTTTAATAAGAGCAGAGAGATATAAGATCCCTGTTGTAACCTTTGTTGCAAGTGCTGTGAAAAAATTTATTCTTAACAGAACTAACTAAACAATGCACTGTATACAAAAGGAAAGTATTCCAGTAGGAAGAGTGAATGTTTACAAATATGATATCACATAACATTGACAAGTCAAGATATGAAGTTGACTTGTCTTGCTGTTACTACTTGTTGAATCTGTCTGGCAGTTACAGAGTTTACTTAAATATTTTAAGTAATTCTGGTCTGACAACAACTGCCAGAAAAGTCAACATTTTCCCCACCTCTGGATAAGTGGTAGAATCAGGGCAATTTAAAAGGATAACAAATGAAGAGTACCAATGTCACAGTAGTGCCCATGGAAGAAAAGAAATCAGGTCATAAAGCATCCCAAAAGAATAGACTATTTTGGCAGCCCAAACAGATTCTTACAATTGGATTTGTTGTGAACTTTTATGAACTAAAAGTACTTTTAATCAATGTAATTTTACATTCATAATATATTTGTTATTAAACTGTTCATCATAGTCAATCTCCATTCAGATTCATTTGATGCACCTTTTTACAAAGATGCATCAGAAAGACAATAGCATATCATGCTAGCAAATGAAACCACATATTTCGCCTTTCAGATTAGTTAAACTGTTTAAAATTAATTAACTGATTAAAACTGTTAAAAATATTTAATAATGTCTGACACTTATAATTTACATTTATGCTTATAAATCAATCAAAACTACAAAGAAAAATTGCTCTTACCAACTAAATGACTTCACATGCGATTCAAGTACATTCCATGTAGCACCAAAATCTTCAGATAAGTATAACTATGAAAAAAATTAAATAATGATACAACTTTATAAAATTTATGTAAATAAATGAATTGCTGTTGATCTCCAACATAATTGACAATATACAAAATAGTCTCCTTTGAAATAATTTCTACTTGGATGTTGGACTAAATTAGTCTGAAAATGTTTCTGAAAGAATAAATACCTTGGCTACATTAATTTTAGCAGTTACTTTCAAGATATTTTAATTTTACTATAAATTACTGGAACAAAATTTTAAAATTTTAAAATTTTCTAATATAATAAATATGAAAATACTTTATACATTATTACCCTTTTCAAAGAATCACTCTTGTCCATTGCAAGAATAATTTCACTGTTTGTTGGATGAAGAGCAAGAATCTCTGGTTTAAATCCCAACTGTACTCTTTGAAATGTACGACCAAAATCACGAGTAGTAAAAATACATTTGTGAATAACATCAGTAAATACAAACTGAAAAGACAATGTTAATTATTAAAACATTTTTAAAATTGTATTTTATATAAAGAGGTAAAATCATACACCTATAGTCAATCATTATAATTGTATTTTAATAATAAAGTAAATATTTAAGCAATTTGTTTGTCTCAAAAAACATTTACAGAATATAAAAGCTGTAAATGCAAAAGTTGAAGTGGTTTTGCAAACATTCTTATTTTAATTAGTTCAAATAATTTTGTTAAAATTGGTTCATTCAGAATCTCTATTGGGCATATTAATGATAGCTTTTAATAATTACTAACTGTTTTATTTGATATATTTTTTACATCATTACAATTACCAAATGATCGCCTAAATAATTTGGCTATAACTCTGTTAATTTTAATAAGTAATACAAAGTAATTTGCTACTAGAGATAGATGCTAGGTACCATCTCGCAACTAAATTAATAATTATAAATTTTAAATTATTTAATAAATAATTAAAATTAAAATAATTAATTTAGTTAAGAGATGGCACCTAGCATTTACTTCTAGTAGCAAATTACTTTGTATTAATTATTAAAATTAACAGAGTTATAGCCAAATTATTTAGGTGATTGTTTGGTGATATAAATATCGGATTTTGGGATGTTTATTATCATTACAATTAATGAAACAATCATAAGGAGTTATATTTTACCATGTGTGAATCCATTGATATAAACTTTGTTTTGAAAAAAAATTTACTTTAAAAATCCAGCCACAACAGCAAAATTTGGTACTCTGTTCCATTAATTTGCATATTATGTACATTTTCTAACAAATTTCAGATATAAAAAAATCAAAAGGTTCTTCACAATTCTTTAACACATGAACAGTCATAGTACTCACTTTGTTACACAAAGAGTCTCATTTATCAAGACAATGTTCACAACCTAGCTGTCTCACAGAAAGAATTTTACAACATATGCAATAACTCCATTCAAGTCAGCTGCATTCCACTATCAAGTGTTTTGTTCAGTGAATATGGTTTTTACAGCATGGAGATGGAGAACACATATCTTTGATGTAATCATCAATTCTACATTCCATATTTTGTTAATCACATCTGTAACTGAAAGACAGCTATTGCACTTTGTTTTATAAACACATGAAATTTGTTAGAAAATGTAAAAAATACACACATTAAGAGACCAGCAAAGCTTAGTGGCTGACTTTTGAAGTAAAGTTTTACCTGAAAATCAAACCTGTAAACTCAGAACGGTATGTTAAATCTTAATTATGATCACCCTGTATATAATAGAAAATAATTTTAATATTGTATGCTATATAAAATATAATGTTTTACAAAATATAAAATAATGTTAGTGACATATGCCAATAATTCTTAAATTCTACCATGATTCATTTTACAAAACAGGAACACTGTTATATTTAACAGCATTTATGTATGTATGTATGTATGTATGTATGTATGTATGTATGTATGTATGTATGTATGTAGACAGACTGTACTTTTCTAATATCTTCATATAGTACTTTATATTATATTTAAACCATTGTCTAGAGTTGTTATAATTTTAAAATCAAAAGAAGTGTTACATTAAAATGACTATTACAATTTATTCATCAAACATTTACTATATTACCAAACAATCTGTTGTATTTTTTATTGTGGTATATTCATTCTAATTAATAATCTGAAACAAAGTAATCTGGCTAGAGATAGGCAGTTTAAGCTGCTGTATCTCTTGATGAATTTAATAATTATAAATAAATAAATTCTTTACTATATTTAATAGCATTGACAATTAACTATATTTTGCTTTAAACATCAAGGTTCTAAAAATTTCTGTTATGGATAAACTATGGTCTGAAGTAGAAATATTTCCATTTCTCACATCTAACTATATTTTAAACTGACATCTCTATCTTTATAGATTCAGACAATGTATCCAGATTATATCATTCATGCATACCTCAACCAAGCATAAATCCATTCGATAAAGATGATTTTTAGTTAAATGTAAACTTCCCTCATATCTTCAACTATTTAAAGTTAAAAAAAAATACATTCAAAACTTTTTTTATTTAGTTGCATAAATTATTATTATTTTTGATATTTTATTTTATGTATTATTTTTATTCTATCTTATTGTAACCTTGAACAATGAATGTTGCATTTGGTCCTGTATACATTCCAATATAGATGTCATAAAGCCACAGATCTTGATGATGAGTTTTTCTGATACTTGAAAGTCCTTACAGAACAGCTTGTTATATTTTCTATATTTTTTAATTTCCTTAAATACCTTTTTTTTGTTGTTGTAGTGTATTTTTGTTATTCCATTCAGTTACTTTATACTATACTATACATAAATTAGATAAATAAATATAGTTTTCATTCCAACTTACAAACTGAATTTTTTTTTTGAAAATGATTTATACAGTAAGTTGAGAATGGTGCTTCCAAACTGAGAATTCTGTCAGGCCCATATTAATGTTTCCTCAATTTACATCTCTTGTGTTTAGTGAGTTTAGCTTAAATAATGTAATAAAATCTACATCTTATATAAATCTCCTGCAAGCAGAATCTGTTGTATAAATTCTGCTTGCTGGAGATTTCCAGCTGCTAGATAACATTTCCAGCTGTAATCTTGAAATATGACATATATTAAATAATGTGATGGTATATATGAAGTAGGCAGTTTCTGTTCATTTGTTGTTGTCTGCAGGTATTTTTATACACCCTAATTTTATTTTCTGTTTTAATTAATGGATTCATATAGCATTCTGTAAAGTGCAGTATATAATGGGATTTATAAAATATTTATTAAACTTATGTAAATCTAATATTTGACAAAAACTTACATGATTATTTAATACAGGGCTAATATAAAACATATTTATGATTGAATCTTTCGTAAGAGAAATCTTCATTGAAACTTTCTGTTTCTCAACAAAAGTCACGCCATAATCATATGATACAAAAACTTGTGATGTACTACTTTCATTTTGTTGTCGATCATATGCTAAACATATAATAACATCACTTCCTTTACCTGCCCAGTGAACAAGTAACTGGCTATGATTATCATTTAATGGAAACTGTAATAGAAATAAATTCATATGAATATTAATTATGAATCTGTCTATATATAAATAAATCAGATATCATTAACAAAACACAGTAATATATTAACTATTTGATGTATGATGAAGTTAAACATGAGAATTATATAGTGAAAAATATGATTTTGTGAAGATTTTGTAAAGTGTTAGTAAATTAAATACAAGAAACAACTTATATCCTCTATCACAAAGTATTATTGTTCATTCTTTTTCAAATAGGCAAGTTATAGTTAAACTTTTGCTATTTTCATTAAAGTTCAGAATAAATAAAATACAGTTTAATTGAATTAACAATAGCACAGTTCCACTCCAACAGTTCTTGCTAAATTATTATTCATATACTTACATTTATATATTAGCATAATGCANAATTTCATACAATAAAAAATTTTTCAAGAAATTTTCATTATAGTTTTTTGGCTGAAAATTTCAATGATTTAGTGGTCAATGTGCTAAAATGTTGTTTGTTGTTTCTACTTCACCAGATTGTCTGGTTTAATCTTACTTTTGGCATGGATGTTTGGGATTGTCAGAATTTTAGATTATTGTTTTGAGAAGTATTCCAATGCCACTGGGATGAACACTAATTAATTAAAAACATTTTAATATTAATATTAAGTTGACACTTATATTAAGTAAACATTTATTAAGTTCTCATTTTTTTCCTTTTATATATTAAATGAAAAAACAATCTTGAAGTAAAAAATATCTTTGTGTGTTAAAAATAAAACTTAATATATATTAATTTTAGTAGGATTTAAAATATTACATCTTTTTCAGAAAAATTACTATAATTTTATTTGATGATTTATGGGTTGTGTGTATTTAAAAGGCATTTTAAAGTGAGAATGTTTATATGATAGAATAGATTATATGCCAACTTTTAACTGAAAATCATTAATAGTGTCTTTAGAAAATGTGAAAAATGTTTTGTATGCCAGAAAAACTCATTTTCAATTGCAATCTTTTCCAAAACTATTAAAGATACCCCACCTTTAATTCTCTCCCACTTATTTCATGTATATTCAAATCATGTATTAATTAACATGATTAGACACTCATATTTAAATTTATATCTTAAGAGCTGATAACTTTTTCATAATTTCTCCTGTCTATATAACGAAGTCATTTCAGAGAAATTTGATGTTTAACCCGTGACGGTAATCATCATCCTAATAAGTAATAACCAATTGCTGCAAAAAATATATTGATAACTTAAGAAAATTATATACATGTATGTGTGATAGTCTCAGTTTAAATTTACAATACAGTAGACCCCCCTATAATGCAGGTTCATATAATGTGTATATCGCGGTGAAAAAATTGCGACCGTATTCGTATAAAGACGCTAAAAGAGACTCATAAAATGCGGTAAAATGTCATCGCCGACTCATGTTGCAACAGGATTGGTCGAATCTGGACCAATAGTGGACAAGCAACTGAACTACTTACACGCTACGGAGAGTTTAGGTGAGTAAGTTGAGTTTACTAACGTCTGTACAGTATATAAATTAGGTACTGTAAGTCTAATACAGCACTGTAATTTTATACATTTCTTGTGAAAGAAACATTTCTTATTCGACGGCCATAAAAATTATTTCTATCAATGATGTCTCCAAAGTTCAACAAATTTTTCTCACAAAAATAACATCAGAAAACACGGCCGCCGTTTGGTGCGCTGTTCCGCAACGAAAACAAGCTTAAGCAATGGCGTGGTTGAACGGTGCACACTCGGTAAGTAATCCTACAATTTTTTGTTTATAGCATAGTTTATACGGATTATTCCCAAAAAATTATGTGTTTTGAAAATGTTGAATCAAATTAGTCTAGAATTGATTAATTTTATGGAAGAAAACCTTTCAAACAGCCATAGTCTGTAAACTGCACACGTGCCGGGCTGTGATTGGCTCATGTATTTGAGGATTTCTACAACGTGAAATTATTATAAAGCAGAACGTATCTACTGCGTTATAGGGGGGGTCGACTGTATTTCATTTTGTTTTCATACAACAGCATCATTGTCATTTTGCTAACAAAGTCAAAACTAAATAAGAGTCATGACAATTCTGGTTTATTTGCTTCATTTTTAAACAACTCAATAGTGTAAAAATTAATGTAACATTAAAATGCAATTTAAATTATTATTAACTAAGTCAAGTCAGAAGACAATAGTGAAATTTGTGTAATGTTTTCTAAATAGTACTTAGATAAATAAAACAAAATTTTGACATCCTATTGGATAGTCTGCCAATTACAATTCATCAAATCTTTACCTTATATACAGTATAATGAACCATACCTAAAATTCATACAAAAAAAAAAAATCCTGAAAAAACTCAGTACAAAAACAATTAATCTATACTAATATTATAAAGAGGTAATGTTTGTAAGTAAGTAAGTAAGTTTGTTTGCAGCAGATAATCTCCGAAACTACTCATCCGATTTTAAAAATTCTTCCACCAATATTTAGAATGGAACCTCAGGGTGGACATAGGCTGAATATTATTTCGTTAAACATTCATATAAATTAAATATCATCATCTATAGTTAAGGCTTTTATGTCCAACAGATGGCGCTACGAGTACAACAACCTAAGTTTGCTTTTCTGTGAGGCATTATGCTTTTCTGTGAAGGGAGATGGTTAGGATTAGAGCTTACGGTAAAGAACTCTGCTTCTATTTATACTATTTTAGATGCGGGTTTTTGCGTTTTTGATTGCGTTTTAATAGGGTACGTCAAGAGAATCTACACTAAGAAGAAATTTTTCAAAAAATTTCCCCCCACGGGGGAAGTGTTATAAATTTATAATAGATACATTTTGAGCCACAACAACGCGTGGCGGGGTCTACTAGTATATTAACATTTTCAAAATAGATTTGTACCTTCTTTGGATAATAAACAAAAATCAACATCAAACATTTTAAAATACAAAATGATGCAAATTACTTAAACAAAATAATGTGCCTTGAACAGATTAAATTCAGATATAGAATAAAATTTCTGTATCAAATATTAAACAACAGTAAGCAAAAATAAAGAAAAGTAAACATAAAATGTTTATCAGTGTTTTCTTTATGTGAAATTACACATAATTAATCGAGTTGATGGATCTTTTAAATATTAGAAAGCACATCTTCACTGAATGTGTTGGCTACCAAAAAAACACTTCTTTTATCATATTGTTTCATTTCTACTTTATCAAAGGTACACTCACTATCTCTGACTGTCAAAAAACCATAGTCCACTACTTTATTCAGAAAGTTAGTTATTCTTTATTACTGATGTTCATACACAAATCATTTTCAGAGCTGTGCTTCATCTTCAGGATTTATAACAAATGTAACAAAATAAATACAACATAAATGTACAAGAAAACCAAAACATCAGAGATAAAACAATCTTTTCTTTCCATATTCCTAATTTTTTTTAAGTTTGACAGCCATTACATTCAAAAGATTGAACTTGCACTGAAAAAAGAGAAACAGAAAAAAAAAAACATTTTAATTTTGAATGCTCTGTATGGTATGGACTTATACAAACAAACAATTTTTTAAAAACAAATCCAGTGCTTTCTTTCAATTAGCATACTTTTTCTATAACTTGCTATTTAATTAATTTTTTATTTAGCAATCATTTCTACACATTAGGAAAATCAACAATGTCCCTAGTGTTGACTATTACACTGCCTATAAATCTCTACTTTTGCCACCATCAAGGTATTCTCCCTTTCCCGAACTTCTGTCAGTTTTTTTAGTTTCATCCCATTTAACCTCTACATGCTTATTGTATGTCTCTGTGCCAAGGTTGTTCCTATTCTGCCTTTCTTCATGTCCTCCTGGTGTTCCCTGATCCTTTTTCTTTAAGTTGTGTCTCATGGCACTAATATATATTCTTTCTTCTCTCCTCAGATCTATTCTTGCTTTCTTGTTTTAAAACATATCAAAAAATGTTTTATTTTATTTATTTTACATTTAATTGGAACTGTCAATGGACAATAGATTTTCACTCCCCATATAACAAAGATTACCCAAGATTACAATAAAATAACAAGATAATAACAATAATAAAAAGAAAGATATAAATACAAACAATAAAAAAAAAAGATATAAATAAAAATGATAGAAAATTTGATAATAGGACATAAAAATCAAACATTATATAGAAATTGCTGGCAAAAATGTTTGTATTTTGTAAAATCATGATGAAGGTGATATTCAACAGGATACATGTATTCAATGGAACGATAAAAGGTGTATGTAGATAAGATAGGGATTGAGTTTTCCTGGAAGGAATTTTCAGTTTGAGTCAATAATTGGGTATTATGCCATTAAAATATTTATAAGTTAAAAATGCAATCAAAGTATTTAATTTTTTCTTTGAAGTCAACTGACTCTTGCAACATTGGTATTATTAGTATACAGTAGATGGCAACATTTGTTCAGAAGGAAATATACTTTATGTATTTCCTTAATAATTTTGTTTATTACACATAAAGGCCATTTTTTTTTACCTGTCCTCTTCTCTAATTTCCTCCACAAATTCTTTCTATAACATCCAAGGTTTAAAAAGAAACTAATGGATCTTTGTTAAGATCCATTAGTTCAACTAAGATAATTTCTTAGAAAAGGTTATGCTGGCAGTGGCGTAGTGTGGGTGTCAGCTGCCCGGGGCAAAGGAAAATTTCGCCGCCCTCTTATTTAGGTATCTCAATTTAAAAAACTAAAATTCAGTTTCGTCACAGAATAAGTAATGAAAATTTCCTTGCTAGTATTGCCACCTTTTTAAAATTGCTGACCCAGACGGCAAGTGAGGTTTGTTCAAACAGAAGTTCCTGACACATGTATATGAAGAATAATGTGCAGTGCATGCTGGTTCAGTTAGCGATTAGGGAGAATTGCTAGGTTACTTATGTTACTCCTACCCAATTCGGGTAGGAGTAACATAAGTAACCTAGATGACTTAGCTGTATTGGACAT